CGCCCGGGCCGCGCCAGGCCGCGCCGGCCGCGCCGGCCGGGGCGGCGTCCACTCGAACGAAACCGAGCCGTTTGAATGGGAAGTTCTTCGTCCACCACTGAAGCGCGCGCTCCTTCTCCTGAAACCAACGCCGCTTGAAACGACCCGTCCGCGCGCAGTGCTGGCTAGAGCTGCTGGTCCGCCGGGACGGCGCGAAGGAAGCGGCATGGGCCAAGGCGGCCGAACTCATCACTGACGCGCGGAACGAGTGAGCCAAAGCGCGGGCCCGGCTGCTTGCGCACGTCTTGGCGTGCGCACCACTGTCTGCACCAACAAAGCAGCAAGGCGCCAGAAGGGGCGCGCGCCGAGCCCTGTCGTGACGCGACGCACCCGACAGCCTGCTCCTGCGTTGCCGCCTGTTTGCCTGCCGCGTCCTGCATTCGCGCCCCGTAGCCCCTGCTCAACCTTTGCCAAGGCACGGCCCCAGCACAGAAAACGCCCCCCGCCCTGCTCCACTTCCACACCCGACCCCCCAGGCCCGCCGTGCGCCTGTTCATGGCGCGGCAGCGGCTGGACAGGACCATCCCTCAGCCGGGGGACGTCCACGTGGTGGCGGGCGGCCCGCCTTGCCAGGTGCGCTTACACTCGCGTGCGTGCATGCCCGCGAGCTCGCTCGCGCCCCTGTCAAGTGCTTTGGAGCCCTGAGCCCGCCTGGCGCTTCGCTCCCCGCGCCGCACGGACCTTTGGCGCCGCTCTGCTGAATTGCGAGGACGTCCGTCCACGAGACAGCAGGAAACCCTGGGGCCGCTGCGTTTCCTGCTGTCTCGTGGACGGACGTCCCCGCAATCCAGCAGCGCGGCGCTGGACCAGCCCACACCCCCCAATCCCCACCACACCCACACGCATGCGTTTGCATAAAGAACCTTCACACACACACACAACACACACACAACACACACACAACACACACACACACACAACCTGGCAACCCCCCCCAGGGCATCAGCGGCCTGAACCAGCACCGCCTGTTGGTGGATGTCCTGAGGGACCCCAAGAACCGCCTCATGACGACGTACATGCGGCTCGTGGAATTCCTGGAGCCAAACTACATCCTCATGGAGCAGGTGGGGGGCAGCAAAGTAGGGGATTGGGGGGGTTGGATCCGGGTGACTGTGGTTGCAGCCTGGCGGGCGCTGCGGGTTGACAAGTGGAGTTGTGGGCCGTGCACCCACACTTTGAGGCGCTGGGCCGCGGGGGGTGGTGGTCGGCCCTTGGTACGCTGTGGGGTGGGGCGTGGCCGGCGCCGCGGCCACATGTGGCATGGTACTCTCGCCTTGCTCTCGCGTGCGGACGCGAACACGAGCAGCACGCCTGTATCAGCACTATGCACACGCTCACACACACACAACAAGCGCGCGCGCACACACACACACACACATACACACACACACACACACACACACATGCACACACATGCACACACATGCACAAACATGCACAAACATGCACAAACATTCACACACACACATGCACATGTACGTTATTGTTGTCTCACAGACACAAGCACGCATTCTCACACATGCACATGCGCGCACGTACACACCCATACACACACTCACACACCACACATACGGCGCATCACCCCCCAATCTTCATCAGGTCATGGACATCTTCAAAAACTGCGGCGGGCTGTACGTGCGCACTGCGGCGGCGCTGCTGACAGAGATGGCCTACCAGACGCGCACGGGGGTGCTGACAGCTGGCTGCTACGGCGTTGCACAGGTCAGGGTTGCTGTGTGTGTGTGTGTGTGTGCGTGTGTGTGTGTGTGTGTGTGTGCGTGTGCGTGTTGCGCGTGCGGTCTGCTGCGCGCAAGTCACGCGGTGTGCATATGTGTTTGCCCGTGGGTATGGATGTGTGTGTTTTCACATGCGCACGCGTGTGTGTGTGTGTGTGTGTGTGCGTGTGTGTGTGCGTGTGTGTCTTTGCAGTGCGAAGGCAATCCGTATCAACCAGCCAGCGCAGCTTCGCCGTGCACGTCTGCCATTCACATCGTTGCTTCATGCAGCGCGTCCTGCCGCTTCCTTTTGGTTGTGTCTGACCTCCGCCGCCCCTCAATCGCCCTACGTCCCGCCCTCTCCTGCGCCGCAGATCCGCCACCGCGTGATAATCTGGGGCGCCCGCAGCGGCCGGGAGCAGCTGCCGCCCTTCCCCGCGCCCACGCACAAGTGCATCGCGCACGTGAGGCCGCCGCCCCACCGGACACCGCTCAGCCTGCCTGCACGCACCCCGGCCTCTGGCGGCGTCCCAGACAGGGCAGCGCCTGACCTTCTGCCCTCGTAGCCAGCCCCAACTGCTGTCGGTCCTCGGCCCGCAACGTTTGGTCGACCCAATCTTCCGGCGCTCTCCCTATACTCCTCCTTTGTAACCCTCGTAACCCCCAGGCCAAGCCCATGACTGATGACACAAAGGCGTGCTACATCACATACACAGAGGACGCGCCGGAGTCCAAGGTGGGGCACGCCCATGCGCGGCTGCACACGCGCGAGCACATGCGTGCAGTCAGCCGCCCCACCTCCCGCTGCTTTTGCAGTCCGTTCCCCTCACCCTCCCCGTGTTGCCATCTGGCCGCCTCCCAGTTGATTCAAAAGCAACTTCCTGCGGCCACTCTAGACGGCCCCTCTGCCCCTGCCCGGCTGGCACGTGCCAAACTTCCGACGAACGCGAGCACGCAATCCGTTGACACAACGTTCGCCTCGGGCGCTTGCGTCGCCCTGCGACCCAACATCTCGCCGCGAGCAGGCCCACCCTATGGTTCTGATGGGTGACGTCCTGGGTGACCTGCCGCCAGTCCACAACTTCAGGCTGAGGGAGGGCGCGGACTACAAGTGAGCGGGGACGCGGACTGTTGAGGGCCGCGGCCGCGCGAACTCAAACGCGAGGGGGGGGGTCTCGTGGGCGTGGGGCTGGCTGGGGACGCACCGAAGGCAGCGGTCCTCAGTCATAGCCTTTTAAGGCAGGGGGCCCGTGCAGCCTGGGGCAACCAAGGCCGCCGCTTCCCTTCGCCAGAGGTGCCCGGGGTTGTCTCGCGACGCGCCCCGCGAGCCGCAGCCCCTTAAGACTGCCTGCTCGTCCCAACC